ATATTTCTGATATACACAATATTTCTGATAAACATAATATTTCTGACATATATATCTTTCTGATATATATAAAATTTCTGATATATATATTTCTGATATACATAATGTTTCTGACATATAAATGTTTCTGATATACATAACATTTCTGATAAACATAATATTTCTGACATATATATTTCTGATATGTACAATAATTCTGATATATATATATGATATACATAATATTTCTGATATATATATGGTATTTTGATGCATTTCCATATTCTTTTATGGTGTTAAATTGAGGCTGCTTGTCCCAAGCACCCATTCTAAAAACCCAAAAAAATTATTTGTCACCCTGTGACAAACTAATTATTATTCTACTTAAATTTCTTGACTTGTAATTCTCCATGTAAAAATTGATAATTGTTTTTTCCAAGGGCTGAATCAAAGGGGGTTTGGGTTTCATGCCAAGGTCTTGGAGCCCCTTGGCTGGTCTTGAGTCCTCCAGGGCAGCCAGAGGAATTCCCTGGGTTCCACCATCTGACCAATTTGAAGATTGAAATTTGAAATAATTTGAAATGATTTGAAATTTGAAATAATTTCTCTTCCAGCTTCCTGCTCCGTTTGGCTCGGCGAGGCTCAGACCGAGTTCAAGAGGGTGGCGGAGGAGAACGTGACCCTGCCGTGCCACCACCGCCTGGGGCTGCTGGAGCAGGGCGGCCTGGACATCGAGTGGCTGCTGCACATCTCCGAGACCGTGCAGAAAGCAGTGAGTCTGCTCAGAAAATCACTTTATTCCTGCCCAATGTAGACCTTCAGCAGAAATAAACGCAGTTTTTGCACCATTCTCAGGGTAGAAAGCGGTGGGTTTGCTGAGAAAATCACTTTATTTCTGCCCTCACGCCACCAGGCCTCCATTTCCCAGCATTGCTGTGGTGATCTCTGCAGCTTGTTCTGATGATATTTGGGATATGGATCAGGCTGGATTACAATGGATTTTTTTTTAAATATAGACAGACTTCATTAGATCAGCCCTTCAGGCTTTTAAAATAACCTTGGCTTTTGCAGGCCCAGCTTTTGAATCCTTGGTTTAGTACAACACACAGGAGTTTAGTCCCTATAAAAATGAGATTTGCAGGGACTTCAATCAGCGCAGCCAAACCTCCAGACTGCTTTGATGCGCTGTGGCACAAACTGAAGCCTGTTTTCACACTTGTACAGTGCCCAGTATAAACCTGCAGTAGAAATAAATGCACTTTTTGCACCTTTCTCAGGGTAGAAAGCGGTGGGTTTGCTGGGAAAATCACTTTATTTCGGCCCTCACGCCACCAGGCCTCCATTTCCCAGCACTGCTGTGGTGATCTCTGCAGCTTGTTCTGATGATATTTGGAACATGGATCAGGTTGGGTTACAATGGGTTTTTTGTTGTTTAAATGTAGTCAGTCTTTGTTAGATCAGGTTCAGAAGTGCCCTTCAGGTTTTTAAAATAACCTTGGGTTTTGCAGGCCCAGTTTTTGACTCCTTGGTTTAGTACAACACACAGGAGTTTAGTCCCTATAAAAATGAGAAAAATGAGGTTGTGCAGGGACTTCAATCAGCGCAGCCAAACCTCCAGACTGCTTTGNGCAGCAAAAATCCCTCTAAGGTGTGAGCTCTGCTAAACCCAGCAGGTTTAAACCAGAAAAGAATGAAAATAAATGAAAATTTCCGCCATCATCTCGCAGAAAATGATAATTTTTTACGGAAAACGTTGAGCAGGACTGAGTTTAAAAACACAAATTGTGCAGGAACCCTCAGAGCTCCACAGGGCTGGGGAAAAGTTGCGAATGTCGCGGTTGTGGCGCCGAAATTAAGATTATTGATCAGCGATGTGGCAGCGGGGCGCTAATGAGGGCAGCGAGGGGAGCTCCAGGGAAAAGCTGGATCCATCCTGGGCAGGAATTGTAATTGTGTTTGGCAGATGCAGCTCGGAGAGCAGCGAATCCAGCCATAAACCGGATTAATTTTCCCTTTAAAGCAAGGAGATAATGCGGCTGGGCAGGAGCTTTCACTGAGGGAGAGCTGAACTGCCCTAAAATTCTGGATATTTAATGTAGGGGGTGATCATTCTTGATAAAGGGGTTGGGAAGGAGGAATTAAATCTCCAAATCTCAGCAGCTGAGGGATGGTTGTGGTAGCTGAGAATGGGAGCAGAAAGGAATTTTCTAAAAGTTGGTCCTGAAGAAATGGGAAAAATGAAGGAGAGTCGAGTGTCAATTTTCTGTCTGGTTTTCATTTGAAGGTTCGCTGTTTAAATACCATAAAAGTATATAAATAGTATAAAATAATGTTAAAAAATAGCAATAAATCCAGCCTGAGTAATTGGAACCTCTTGTGCTGCTGCTCTGTCCTCTCAAGTATATCAAAAGTATATCATAAGTATAATATTAAAAAGTACATCAAAAGTATAATATTAAAATATAGGAACAAATAATATGAAAAATATAGGAATAAATCCAGCCTGAGTAATTGGAACCTCTTGTGCTGTTGCTCTGTCCTCTCAAGTATATCAAAAGTATATCACAAGTATAATATGAAAAAGTATATCAAAAGTATATCAATAGTATATAATAATATTAAAAATATAGGAATAAATCCAGCCTGAGTAACTGGAACCTCTTGTGCTGCTGCTCTGTCCTCCCAAGTATATCAAAAGTATATCAAAAGTATAATATTAAAAATATAGGAATAAATAATATGAAAAATATAGGAATATTAAAAATATAATATTATTAAAATAATAATACTAAAAATATAGGAATAAATCCAGCCTGAGTAACTGGAACCTCTTGTGCTGTTGCTCTGTCCTCCCAAGTATATCAAAAGTATATCATAAGTACAATATTAAAATATAGGAATGAATAATATGAAAAATACAGGAATAAATATTAATAATATAATATTATTAAAATAATAATATGAAAAATATAGGAATAAATCCAGCCTGAGTAACTGGACCCTCCTGTGCCCTGCTCTGTCCTCCAGGATTGTGTGGGACTTCCCAGC